GGCTGAAATAATTAATTTATTATTAGCTATTTAGCATTGTAGCAAGCAAACCTAAATCATCCATGACGTTATTAATTACTTTAACCTACTCAAATATATGATTGCGTATTTTTTAAAAATAAACTTCCATCAGCCCGAGCCACGAGGTATGTTGAACACTATCTTATTTCAGACTTGGAGAGAGTTCATCCAAATAGTATTGATTGTATCTCTACTCTGATTATATTAATCAAAAGAGTAAATACCAGTGGACATCCTCTGACTTTGGTGGTATTGTCACTTTTAGTCCTCACTTTTTAAATCAACCACTTCCAGTCCTCCTACTTTTTGTTTCTAACCATCTATGGTCCTTCCGTTACACTTGGTCATCTAACGCCATTTTCTCAAGGGCAATTCAGTCCGTTCTTGAAATTAAAATTAGTTGAAAATTAGGCATTTTAATGAATGCAAGGCGCGTAATTACTTCCAAAAAAAAAAAACTTAATACATTAATTATGAACAGACTGAATTGCCCTTGAGAAAACGGCATTAGATGGCCAAATGTAACAAAAGGACTATAGATGGTTAGAATCAAAAAGTAGGAGGACTGAAAGTAGTTGATTTAAAAGGTGAGGACTAAAAGTGGCAGTGCCACTAAAGTCGGAGGATGTCCACTGGTATTTACTCTAATCAAAATTATGGTAAACTAAAAATAAATTTTTAGAAAATAAAATCTGAAAGTAAACCTAGGGTGTTTTTGGTTTGAATAGGGGAATCAAAATCGAAATGAGTATTAAATATTTGGTAATTGGGATGAGTTTTGGTGAAAGTATTTTGTATATTTAAGAGTAAAGTGAAATTGGAATGATTATCAATATGGTTGAAAGGAATTGTAATTTCATGGAATTGCAATTCCCCCCTTTTCATGGAATTAAAATCTCATGTCCCCCTGGGATTTTAATTCCTGAAATTTTAGGAAGAAAAAAAAATAGTGATAAGTCAAAATTACCCATTTCTTTTTTAATCGAAAATTAATGCCTGACAATAACAATGGGCATTTTAAACTTTATATTACTTATTCCCTTTCAATATCCATGTATACCAAACATTGGAATTGAAAATCCCAGTAATGCTATTCTTGTAAACCAAACACTGGAATTTAAATTTTCACTTTATTCCCAGTAATTCATCTCCCATGGAATTGCAATTCTTTTCCCACGTAATTTTCCATCTCCAACCAAACGCCGATTAGTATTTGGTTATTTATGACTCTATAATCAATATAAAAGTTTTAAAATACCAAAAACAAAAAGTCAAATACAATTGATGTAAACAGTGACGATGAAGTGAGGGGAGCCGAAATGAGGACGCTATTGAAATAAGGAGGTCGGAATAATGCTGAATTAATGAAATGATACCTTATTTAAATTAAGTAATGACTTTGGTAATTTTTAAAAAGTTATCAACCACAAAATGTGTATGACTTTCATTTTCAATCCTTATTTCTATCCCATGAACCAAACACACAAAGAAAATTACTAAATCACCTGATAATGAGAAGAATTATTTGAAGGAGTTAATTTGGAACAGTAAACTTACATTGATGACTGCTTTGATGTTGTCTTCTGTGATAGGAAATTGAAGCTCCCCACCTTCCTTCACTCTTAGTAAAACGTCAACTATATCTTCATCTTTTCCACTACTATTTGTGCTGTTTGCTAGGTGGTTCTCTTTGTGATCTCCAATGATGATATCAAAAATCTTATCTAGCTCATGGTGCAACTTCAACAGCTTGGGTTTCATCCCACTAGTGTAATGAATCCACTTCTTGGACGGGAACAAATCGCCCAAATCAAACCCCCCGGCCAAAGAGAGCACTTGTTTCAAAAGGGCAATGAACTTTCCTTGATCTTCACTGCACACTCTCCCAAACGCGACCTTAGCAATAAGCGAGCTCGTGAACCAGCTCACCTTTTCCGTCAAGTTGGTCGGAAACCCTGTCTCCGACGACAACCTTATCGACGATACGAGGTTGGAGAGCTCTTCCTGTCGGAAAGAACAGAAGGATTTGACCATCTTCATGCTCAGGAGTTCCAACACACATATCTTGCGCATTTGCCTCCAGTAATCTCCGTAGGGCGAAAGCGCGACGTCTGTGGATTTGTAAAACACGATATCCAGCGCCATGATCTTTGGCCTGCTGGCGAAGACGAGGTCGTGGGTTTTAGTTATCGCTCTCGCCAGTTGAGGAGAAGATATGACGATGGTGGAGATTTCGCCCAGCTGCAAGTGCATTATGGGTCCATATTTTCTTGATAAATTTCTGAGAGAACGATGCGGAAGCGACCCACCAACTAAATGGTGGAGGCTTCCGATGAGGGGTAATTTCCATGGACCTGGGGGCAACTTTTGCTTTGCTGCTGCTTTTGATTTTGCCCATAATATGCATATGCAGAAGATGAGGAAGGAGAGGAAGAGAAAATAATTGATGAGCTCCATTATTTCTCAGAAATGAAAGACGGATAGATGGATGTTAATCATTAAACTTCATTGCTGCAGATATATACTAGTATTTTCCCATGCCATGAACAGACACAATTTTAGAAGTATAGGCATGAGTCAATACATCTTTATATAAAAAAATATACTGAAACGAAATAGACCCAGGGTAAGGGTATAAAAATGATTAAATCCAACAATATATAATAGTGTATATATGATGATAACCTTGAATGTCATTCCTGGCATAATTGCCCCATACCAACAACCACAAATAGAATAGAACATTAAAAAAAAAAAAAAAAACACTGGCATGCAAAAAACTTCTTTGTAGTACTGGGATGTAAAAGAAATACATTCATATAAAAATTCATTCCTGCTGATACTCGCTGGTAGAATACATAATCTACTGTGTTTATATGCATATCTCTTGGTCATGAAACATACTCCTTGCCCTTTATCGTTTCGCTGCCCTTCCTATCTCCGATTTCATATGTACGCAAACACCTAACGTAGTGAGGTTCAATGCTTAATTGAGATTGTATTTGTACTATAAACAATCTGTAATACCTAATGTTTGTATTGTATTTGTTTTTATATGAATTCAGATGTATTTATAGATTGTAAGGAAAATCATTGTTTACATATGGTAATTAATGTCATTGTTTGGAAACCAAAGAGACTGATTGTAAATAAGTACACGAATTAATGGTAATCAACTCAGGTTGGATGAAAAAATTTCAAACGTCAAAATGTTTATACTTCTTAAATGATGGGATTTTTAACAAAATTGATAAAATCTCCTTTGCATACAAAACGCAATCGTTTTTTACACGCGGGATCTTTTTCCCTATTTTTATTCTCAAAAAGGTTTGGGAGATTTTATTTTATATATAAATAAAAATGTGATATGAGCTTTATTAATTTATATATATAATTATTAATTTAATAATTATTTTGATTTGATTTTTAATTATTAATATAAATATTTGTAATTAAAATAAAAATCTTATTATATATAATACTCGTAGAAATTAATTCATGATTACATGAATTTATAAATTTGTACGTATTTTGCATCTTTGTGTTGTATAAACTCAACAATCTCTTTATATATATATATATATATATATATATATATATATATATATATATATATATATAGAGAGAGAGAGAGAGAGGAAAGGGATCAGGTGCATTTGTGGCTTCCCGTGCGGATGTGCGGTGGATTAATGTGCGTGAGGTTTATACTTAATGTACGTGAGATTTGTACTCGATGTGCCTGAGATTTGTACTTAATGTGCGTCATGTTAATATGCGTGAGTTTTGTACTTAATGTGCCTGAGTATTGTGTTTAATGTGCGTGAGATTTGTGCTTAATGTGCGTGAGTATTTCAGAATTACGAGCTCTGAAGGAAGCAGAACAGAAACTCACGCACATTAACACCCAAGCTTCTTGTTACTTCTTCCTTCAATTTGGCCATGAATTCTGGATTATCATCTACCTTCAGTGCAGTTGAATGTTTATATAAATGGCGCACGCACAGTAAAATTTGCACAACAGCTAAGTGTGGATTTCTGTTGTATTATTCCCATAATTCTTAACCACCATAGCCCGCCTCCGCATCATCATCATCAGGGAGGGGGCAAATGGCTACTGGGATGGGGAAGAAGCTGACATCAATATTTTCTGCTACATTTTACACATTCACGCACATTAAGTACAAATCTCGGGCATATTAAGCACGACACTCACGCACATTGAGTACAAATCTCACGCACATTAATCCACCGCACATCCGCACGGGAAGCATTCACCGCACGGGAACCTTTCACTATATATATATATATATATATATATATATATATATATATATATATATATATATATATATATATATATATATATATATATTGGGCATTACAAAAATAAAAAATAAATCAATTGACAATAAATAATATAACATAATAGAAAATAAAAATTTTAATATAACAAATGTTGGGCCAATATATAATTATACTTTTTAAAAATTTCTGGGCCAAACCTATTATCCCATTGTTGCAGTCCATTTACCCAAAACTCATTCACACTTTTGGAGAAAAATTTTGGTAGCTAGGATTTTGTTTTATTATATATAAATAAATAAATAAATAAGTAAATAAATATATATATATATATATATATATATATATATAGAGAGAGAGAGAGAGAGAGAGAGAGAGAGTTACACTCGGGTGCGAACGGGCTGCCCAGGCGCGAAATAGGAATTAACTACAGCCGTTGATCAGCGTTCATCCAACGATCATCATTCCTATTAACTTTCTCGCGTTTTGCCATTTGTTTCCAAATTTGTAAGGATATTCTTGTCTTTGTAGGCGTTTGTTTCCAAATTTATAATCTATCCTTGTTTATTAGTCGTCGTCTTCATGATTCGAAATCAAAAGCTCGAGCTGGTGATCGCATAGGCGTTGCAATTCTTCTCCCGCGGAGGCATTCATCATCTGTGTATCATACGATCGCAATGGAGTCAGGTATTGTTCTGTTTATATTTGATCGCGTAAGATGAATTGCTGGTATCTTGGTTACTAGGTGTAGTTGAATTTGTAATCCAGTCATCGTGTTTCCGTAGGTAATTGCATTGAAGGTCTAATTTACATTTAGCCAATTCTAGAAATATTGCACACATAATTTGTTGGTTCACCTGTAATGAATGTAATCTTTTTGTTACTTAGTTGCATCATATGTAGTATTTTACTTGCACACTATGGGCTATGTACTTGCAATACTGGTATATTTATATTCATTGTGTAAGATGAATTACTGTTATCTGGCTCACACGTTTAGTTGAATTTGTAAATTATTCATTGTGTTTCTGTAGGTATTTGCATTGATGTTTGATTTTGCATTTAGATAATGCTAGAATAATCTCACACACAGTTGTTCTTCAATCAGTAATCCAGACTTTTTTTTTGGTTATTTTATTGCGTTGTATTTATTATTTACTTGCACACAATGGTTTATGTACTTGCAATAAGTTTTAGTTTTATATAGTTTATGGTAGATTACCAGTAGCTGTACATTTGTCCACACAGGTGAAGGGGATTCGTATCGTTTGGATATTTCTCCTGGTTTGACAAAATATTACGTCCCTTTGTGTGAAGATTCAGTTAAACCGTTTGTGGGGAAGGTTTTTCCTGATTTGGATACTGGGGTTGAATTCTATACTAAATATGCATCGATTGTTGGGTTTGATGTTCGACTAAGTCACTTGTCAAAATGTGATGATGGGACCACTGTTTGGAGGTATGTTCTTTGTAATCGAGAGGGTCATAAGCATGTTGTTTGTAAAGATAAATCGTCAGTAGCAGAATTGGATGGTGATGCGGAGTCTTCGGTTAAAAAGAGGAGGAGATTTTCAAATAGGGTTGGGTGTGGGGCTTGTGCTATTTTTAGATATGGAGGCGATGGCACTTATGTTATTCACAGGTTTGAAGAGCGTCATAACCATTCATTGACATCAGTAATGTCAAGACAGTTTTTGAAGATGAATAGAAAGGTTGGACCTGGTCATATGAAGTTTGTTGCTGATTGTGGAAAAGTGAACATTGGTCCAGTGCAGAGTTTTCGATTGTTTGGTGAGATGTTTGGTGGGCTGGCAAATGTTGGTGCAACAAGTTTGGAATTTCGGAATATTAAAAGGGATGTGGACGCATTTTCTGCTAGGGTTGATGCTCAGATGATTGTGACTAATTTCTTAAAAAAAAAAAAAAGAAGTATGCCCATCTCTGTTTTTTGCATTTGATGTTGATGAGTATGACCACTTATCCAGATTTTTTTGGGCTGATGCGGTTTCTAGGAAGAATTTTAAACTTTTTGGTGACGTTGTGTCATTTGATGCTACATATTAGACAAACAGGTTAGTTTTGGTAGCGTAGGGCATAAGTTTTATATTCTGTTGTGTTATTGGTCATATTTTTGGCCATAGTGCAAGTATATATGTTTATAGGTGCAACTAGTTTACTCTAAATGCGCATGTAATCTCTGACAAACTTTACATTGTTTTTCCAGGTATGATGTGGTGTTTACACCATTTACTGGTGTTAATAATCATAAAAAGTCTATTACTTTTGGGGCTGGGTTGTTGACAAAAGAGGATATTGAGTCATATGTGTGGTTGTTTGAGAAATTTAAGGAAGCGATGGGTAGTGAGCCAGTATTGGTTGTTACTGATCAAGATCCAGCAATGAGGGTTGCATTTCCACGTGTGTTCAAGGAAGCTAAGCATAGGTTTTGCATGTGGCACATTATGTCCAAGGTAGGAGATAAGGTTGGCCCTTCATTGAGTAAAAACGAGAGTTTTAGGTCAAAGTTAAATTCTGTTGTATGGAGTCATTATTTGGAACCAGCTGAATTTGATCATCAATGGAAGGTTGTCATGGAGGAGTTTGGGTTGTTGGAGCATAGTTGGTTTGTCAAGATGTATGATCTTCGTCATCTTTGGATTCCTGCATACTTTAGTGATGTTAGTATGAATGGGTTAATTAGGACTACTTCCCGGTCGGAGAGTGAGAATAGTTTGTTTGGTTCCTTTACTACTCCTCAGTCCAACTTGGTTGAATTTTTCATGCATTTTGATCGTGCGATTGATAGTCAACGCTATTCTATTAATAAACTCAACAGTGACTCAGAGGCATGTTTTCCAGATTTGAAGACACCACTGTCCATGGAGAAACATGTTGCATATGTGTATACTCTTACAGTTTTTTATTTGGTGCAAGCTGAGATTTGTGCAGCATGTTTTAGCTGTCGAGTTCTAAATGTTCGGGATGACCAAGGGATTTTGTATTATGATATTAAAGACGAAAATGACCGAGTGTTTAGGGTGGTGCTTAATGTTGCTGAAGTAATAGCTTCATGTGGATGTAAATTGTTTGAAAGGGTAGGGTTGCTTTGTAGGCATATTTTTGTAGTTTTCAAAGATTTGAACTTGAATTCAATTCCACTAGTCTATGTAGTTAACAGGTGGACCAAGAGTGCATCACTGGGTCAATCTTTTGATATTGATGGTGTTGTTGTTGATCAATGTAGAGGTGTTGATGAGAAGTTGGTGATATTGAAAAATGTGTGATTAGATATTCAATGCTGTGTTAGTATGGTTCAGTCTGACATTGATCGTTTGAAAGGGTTTTCCCAGATCATTAAGGACCATAAGGATATGCTTTTGGCTGATAAGGATGGTTGTTCTTCTACTGTTGATAAGAGGTCAGTCATCGAGTCAATATGTGGTTCTTCAGTCCCTTCTGAAGTTTCCATTCTTCCACCAAACAAAGCAAAGAATAAGGGTAGTGGTAGGCGCATTAAAGGTTGCAAGGAGATTGCCATTGAACAAAGTAAGAATGAGAGGACGTGCAAGACTTGCAACAAACCTAATCATGATAGTAGGAATTGTGTGTTGAGGAAAACGAAGGACAAGGTGTGCGGTTTACAGATACTCTAGATACAATTGTATTTACATTTTTTTGTTGTCAAAATATGACTATGAGGGATTCTTTATAATGTTGGTTTAGTAGTTATGGAAGTAGTTCTTAGCTTAGATGGAATAATACAGTGCTGATATCTTGTGTTAGGATGTTATGTATTGTTGTTGCACTAATATAGAAGATTACATGCAGTTTTATTGCAGATTACATGCACTAATTGTTGATTGATTTCTTGGGAAGATTTCATGAAAGTTGATTACAAGTATAATTGTTATAATATAAACAATTAGATGCTTTTAGTACGAAAAACGGTTGCAGAGTTTACTTGTGCACTTTTCATATAAAAATATGATTATTAATAGTGTAGTATATTGTATGCAATTTAAAGCATATTTAATTGCACTTGTAGGAAAAATTAATTGCTTTAACAAGGAAGATGTGTTGTACATGTGGCTTAGTAGAGAAATGAAAGTACTTTTAGCATATATGGAAATATAGCAGCTCTAATTGCGGTAATATAAACCACTACATGCATTTATAACAAAAGGTGATTGCATGTTTCTGACAGTAAATGTTAGATATGCCTTACAGAAGAGTACAAGCACTTATGCTACTAGTACTTGCACACAAGTATGACTTCATATAGTCAACTTTCCAAAAGTAGTTACTAAATTCAAAGGCAACTCAAAAATTGGTTTGTTTAAAGATTTAGTTGCCTGCACCAAAAACACATTCACAGACGTTCACAAAGAAAAAAAAACAATCAGGTGTCCGTCACTTCTTTGACTTTGAGGCCTTTTGGAAATTTCTGGCAAGCTTCATGCATTCCTCTCGCTGTTCATTGACTGGGCCGTTCACGATCTCTGCAAGGTACTTCACCCGCAGGTTGTTTAGCTGTTCTCGATTTCCTTTTTCGATCCCACAGTCCCAACCCCTCACACCTTTCCCCATATATGTCTCCATGTGTCGCATAGCGAACACACCACAGTCAACTTTGTTCTCATCATCTCTCCAGCTCATCTCAAGTCTTGATGGTTTTAGTCCCCGTACAAGTTTGCTTTTTGCATCATCATTTTTGGATTGGAAGTACTCTGCCAGCATATTTGTCTGTATTACTTGTAATTGTCAGTATACAAACTATTAATATTAAAATTGTCCAAGATGTCAAATCTTTTATTTTTGAAATTTATGGTGAGGACATAGTAGTGCTCAGCATGTACAATGGGGAACATAATCTGTTTGAAAACATAGAATCAGTAGTTTAGTTGCACAAATAGATATAGTTTATTGCAATATTGATATAAGTTACTTGTACCATTGCGTATATAGTGTGTAGCTTACCAACTCAATATTTTTTCAAGGCTTAATCCTTCTGTCATTGCGATTTCACCATCCAATCTCTCTGAAAATCTTCTAAACCTCAATGCATGGTCACCGTAGGGGGCTACAATCGTGAAAAGCTGCAATAAATGTAGATGTTAGGGTGCATTTTACAATATTTTTTTTTTTTAATATGTAAGGTTATTATAGTTGTTGTAAAACTTACACATACGAATGTTGTTGCAAAAAATCTGCAAGGTGAGGTATTGCTACGGGCCCTTTCTTTATAGTTTAGAATTGTAGACCAGGCATCTACGACTCCAACCTTAATCTTCGTATCAATGGCCATGGATAACATGTCATCCCATATGACTGCCTTGTCACCATATATGAAAATCTCTTTTGTCCTGTTTTAAAAAAAAAATATTAATAATAATAATAATAATAATAATAATAATAATAATAATAATAATATTCAGCAAAGACAGTAGAGACTTTAATATATTGATAGACCAACACTGTTAGTTATATAGTCTTACGGTTCAACATTGGGATTCTGTAGAACCCATTTGGCAATCATTTTTTCATTGTTATTCCATGCTCGGTGAACATCAACTGTTCTTGTCAAGTATGGGGACTTCAATGGATTGGTGATTTTCACTTGCCGCTTCTCTGCCCTTGGTTGTTGTTTCTGAGGTTGTTTTGGTACATTCTTATCAACTGCCACTGCTGGCTCTTCCTGTTGTGGTTGTGGTTCAGGCAGAATCTATAATGATACAGTGCAGCTAATTTGATCACAAAGTGCAAGTAGTATATTGTAATAATGCAAGTAAGTTTTTAAAGTTTCATTACCTCATCAACATTCATGTGTGTTTGCTCTTCTATTTGTTCCTGTCTTGTATCTTGGTCTGGTGTTGCCTCATCAGGTGAAGGGTTAAGAGGTGTTTTAAAGCTTGAATTTGCTGCAGTCCTTGAGACATTTCGAATTGCATTTTCAATCTCTTCTTGAGTCAGTCCCAAGCTGAAACTTGGTCCCTCTGCCACCTTGTTCCTGTACTGTTCTCTTCTGGTGATTGCATTATCAATTGCATCAAATGCAGCAATGAACTCTGGGTTGTTTCAGAACTCTTCATTTTGTTGGGTCAATGTAACATCAGGGTTTGGAATTCCAAGCAGTTTCTGTGCAGATTCCACCATCTGCTTGAAGTTCTCATCTTCATCTGTATGCTCAGGTGCCTCTTGCGCCATTTCCATTACTTCAAGCATTGTTTTTGCTAGAAGTTTTATCTTTTTGGCAAACCTGTGCATATAACTCATCTTTTTTTTTTTTTTTTGCAGGTAGTAAAAGCATGTGTTAATACTCTGAGTGCACAAATTCTAGTGTGTACATGCATATACAGAATAAATTAATTGCACACAATGTAGTATTAACATTTTAACATTGTTCAAACATTATATTGATGTGGTATGTATGATTTATGAACACAAGAAGTATTAACCATGTATAGAGATTTATTTAATCAACTAGTTAACCGCTTATTATTATTTTTTTGGCTATAAAATTCTATGTGCACTAATACATATAACTTCATGCACATATAATTTAATCTAGTTGCATAACATAAGATTATTGATATTTACCTGCTGGTCTTGATCATCATCTTGGGATTGGTTTTTGTCTGTCAGTTGCAGGACTTCTTCCTGTGCATCATCAATGTAGCCGTAGCCGAAGCCACCCGAACTAATCTCAGCCTTTTCCCTCTGGTTCAGTAGATGCGTGTCCCATCCTTTGAATGCTGGCAATGCCCTAGGTACTGTTCTGTTGTAAAGTACAACCCTGTCAACATAAAAAACCTGCAAAATATATAAAACATTGCTTAGTTTTGCTTTAGTAATCAATCGTAGCTGTGTGTCTCATTCATAAAGACACTTACCGCCAGGAATAGTATAGACCCAGTGAACTTTTGTGATGTATTTTTGGCCCATGCAATCTTGCTGCTGACCAATGCGCTGAGTATATACTCACACCAATTGAGCTTACTAATGTCATCCACATTTGTAAAATTCTTTATCAGGTGTGTGTTGACATAGCCAGTTGTACTGCCATCTACAAACATTGTTGTTATCAGTATGGCAAGATGACGCTTGAACCATTTCCCGCCACTCTTGCAAGCTACCATCGCTGCACACAACTTCTGAGGTGTTATATTCAAATCTTTCCTGGCCAACACCTTCTTCCAGTCCTCAAGTAAGGTGTTATTGTCATCTCCTTTACATCTTCTCTCAATTTTGATACCTCCATTAGGAAACCCCAGTGCTTGGGCTACATCCTTAACTGTGATGTGCAGCTCCTTTCCATCCCTCACACGTAAACAAGAGCTGTGTGGGTCATAGTTGTTTACTAGCCACCATCCCAGCTTGCCAGGGACTTTTGAAATGTGTTGATGACGCAGGTTCTCAAACCCCATCTCTCTTACACTCTGCCATTGTTGATCGGTGAACTTCTCAAAAGCTTTTATAAGTTGGAATGGGGTTGCTCGTGTTGTTAAGGACAGGTAAGAAACAGCGTGGTACGTTTTGTCTTCTGCTTGTGTGTTTGTTTCCTGAACAACTTGGGTTTCTTCATCATCAGACCCATCTGTGGATTCATTGTGTTCATTTTCGGATTCTTCTTGTTCTTGTTCTTCAGATTGGGATCCATCTTGTTCTTGGTCTTCAGCTTGGGATCCTTCTTGGTTTTCAGCTTGGGATCCTTCTTGTTCTTGTTCTTCAGCTTGAGATCCTTCTTGTTCTTGTTCTTTAGATTGGGATTGTTCCTGTTCAGATTCTGCACGCTGTGGTTCTTCATGTTCGGATTGTTCTGGTTCTTCATGTTCAGATTGCTCAGATTCCGTAGATTGGGGCTCTTCTTGATTAGTTTCTTCCGGCTGTGGTTCTTCTTGAGCAGGTTCTCCCAGTTGGGGTTCTCCAGGGGTGCACTCTTCAGGTGAGTCATCAATTTCCATATGTTCAGTTGATTTCTTTGATTTTTTAGCATGTCGTTTAGACTTCCTGGAGCCTTCTTTGTATCTTTTTTGTCCTGTGAGAGTTATTTTTCAAAAAAAAAAAAAAAAAAAAAGGTTAATCTCACATATAAACTAAAGTAATTTAAAAGGTAAATTGTGTTATAGGCAGATGCATGTATATTGTCATCTAGATGCATCAGTATAGTGAAGTTGTTGCAGAATTATTTTAAATGACAATCAAGGCAGACTGCAAAATGATAGAACATTATCTAACATTTAGTTGCACTTATGTTGAAATATAAACACAAGAATACATCAGAATTATTGCAGAATACTTACTAACTGACAAAATAGGTACACAACTCTAGGTGCACAATATCAGAGGAGTACTTGCAAACATAGATTAAAGTACTTGCATGAATAGAAATTTGGAGTGAAGCAAACACAGATGCATGCATATAGCTTAAAATAGTATTGTTTGGTATCAATGGCAAAGTGACCAGTTGGTCTATATGTTGATTAGGGTATTGGATAGGCAAAAATAGTGTATTTTTTAAAGTACTATTGTCGAAGACAATTACACATTGTAGCATTATAGCAAAAATTATAAGTAAAACGTAGAAGAAACAAGAGAACATAAATTTGTTTTAAATGACAATCAAGGTAGACTGCAAAAACAGAGACAGTATCTA